CCCCAAAACCCCAAAACCCCAAAACCCCATCAAAGGAAAATTCAAATTATAATGAAAAGATAAAATGATTGAAATTGCTTCATTATTAGAATATCAATGTTGATAGAAATGCTTAAAGATATTGCTGACTCTCTCTCATCATATCATTATTTCTTATTAGAGTTAAAAGAAGAATCATATATTATCTTAAAAAATGTCTCAACTCTATTATCTATTTGACATATTTAGAAATGTAGATATATCGAGCTTAAATTATCATTAAAAAATAAAAGAAATTAACACAAATTCCTCATAAGTATGAATGACTTTGTACAATGAGCTTTTGAATCAAGTTAAAAGAAGTATTTAGATGAGTTTTAGGCAAAATAAAGATATGATAAATCCTAAATCCTCTCAATATATCAATTATCTTATTATATTAATATTATCTCTAAGATTAAATTAATTAAAGTCATTCATTTGAATTGAATCATTATCATCCATCCGTTTTTCCCCTAATTAAAGGACCTATATCTCATAGTTTATAATTTTAACATTCATTTCTATTTCCCTCATGGATCAAGATCAATAAAGACAGTATCTACTGTAATAAATGCTAAGATAAAACTAGAACCCTCTAATGGCCCCCCACATGATTTAACCTTCAGGAGCTTTTGGGGGTGCTCAGTTTTTCAATCAACAAGCTTTGCAAAATCAAGGATCAACTAATCCTGGCTAACATGGCTAGCATACTTAGTAACCAGGTCTAGGTGGTGGATTTCAACAAACCATTGGCGGTTAAATGAATCCACTTTTCCACTAAAATCCTAATGCTGCTCTCTTTTAGCAGCACTCATAAATGTCTTAGGGAGCACCACAAGGTTAAACTGGGTAGCATTAATCTTAAATCGGTGCTGCTTCCCTTCAAAAAACTCAGGTTCCATCATCTTTAATTCCAGGTTAAGTGCAGTAAAACCCCGGATAACATCTGATGGGAGGTCCTCAAGGAGGACTTTTGGGTCAAATGAGTGGGATTGGAGGCGCTCAAGGTGGCTAAGGCCCTAACACACTCCTACTCGGAAATATGCTTCAAATGTAATAGTAAATGTAGCAACAGTAGTAGATGAGTTAATAATCACATCAGGGATTTTCTCAACCCTCCGGTATAGGATAGCTACCATTCAATCAAATCGGATCGCAGTTAGGAGGAGGACAGAACTAAATTGCTGCTTATTTAAACAAGTTTTAAGACATGCAACCTTAATCAAATTAGGCAAACACATAAGATACATAATCTTAAAAAGGGCCCTCCAACTAGGCGCCTAATCCTTACAACCATCTTTAAAATCAGTCGTAAATCGGATAGAATTCTAATCCAGAGTAAAGTAATGCAACATCATAACAAAATATTCAATAGCAATAATAGTTGAGTCACTAAAATAATGCTACTAACATCCATTAACTAAATTTTCTTGGCTAACTGTAATAAACAGGCTCTTAATAATAGAATCCTTCTTAAATGAACCCATAACTTTAATTTTTCAATTAAGGGTTCCCGAATTAAGTACAAAACCAGAGTTAATTTGGAAGTTTAGCATGCAACTAGATCAAGAATCCTGCAATTTAATCTCAACCAGGCTAACAAACATAACAAAAGCCTCAGCAAGTTGGATAAAACTAAAACTAACTAGTTCAACAAAATCCCAACCAAAGTATGATGCCTCCACATCTTTAATAGAATCAATAAAATATGTAATAATTGCCACAACATACTCCTTAAGGTAGTATTCAAGGAGGTATGTCTTAGTAAGTTCCATCATTAGGTGGAAACATTAACAGATAAGCTTCATCTTCACAAGGAACAGGGCTTGCTGGTGCTGCAATGTAGGCAGAGAAAAATCTCTAGATAAACTAGCAAAACCCACCAGCAGGAGGCCTACCAAATATTCATGGTGGGGCTTCCCAATAGCCCAGTTAAAATCCATAAATGATGAACGTAGCAAATCTGAATAAATTAGCTGAGTATTGTGCTACAAATGGAGAATATCATCATGCTATTGAATACTATCTCTAGCTTACAATTTTGGATCCAGATAACGGTCCTGCTTGGACAGCACTTGGTCATTGCTATTTACTTATTGAGGATTTGCAAAAATCATTTAATGCATATTAGCATGCTCTTTACTCTTTAGAAGATATTAAAGATCCTTAACTTTGGTATGGAATCGGAATACTTTATGAAAAGTTCGAATCATATGACCACGCAATTAGCGCTTTAATTGCTGTTTTAAAAATGTCACCAAACTTTTATCAAAAGTCTGAAGTGCTCTATAAACTCGGTATTATCTTTGCTAAAACCAATTAAATAGAGTAGTCTATCAGTTATTTCCAAAATTCAATTTTGACAAACACTTTCACAGTTAAAAGAAAGGTTGACACTCTATTGAAAATTGGACTTCTTTATGAAGAGAACAAAGATTTCACTCAAGCTTAAAGATCATATGAGGCTGCTCTAAATCATGATGAAAACAACTTCAAAATCTATTAACATCTGGCTTGGTCATACTTCCTATAAGGAAATATTAATACAGCTGTCGAGTATGTAAAGAAAGCTGATAAGAAAAACAAAGGCTAAGCTGATTCCTATTATATTCTAGGCAGATGCTATATGTGTTTAGAAAATACAAAGGATGCACTTGAAAATTTCTAATAAGCTGCCTATAAAAATCCAGGAGAAGCAGTTTATTGGGCTACCTTAGCAATTTTCTATTATAATACTGCAAATTACACTGATGCTTTTGAAAATATTATCAAAGCTACCACTTTGAATCCTTAAATGAGCGAAATTTGGTTTAATCTTGGAGTACTATATGAGAAATGCAGATAGCCAGAAGAAGCCCTAATAGCCTACAGTAAAGTATTGGAATTAGATAATGATGACTAAGATGCTTAAAAGAGAATTATGACCATTAAGAACCCATCCTATCAAATTGAACAACAAAAAAATCAATTCAATCTTCAAATGAAGTATCCTAAGTTCACTCTCCCAAATTCTCTTATGATTTTAAGAAAATACAAGAAATCTAATCCAAATCAAAAAGCTGTAACCACAGGAAACGAATAGCTTACTACTCCTATGTAATAACCCAATTAACTTGGAGGACAGCCAGGTGATTTATCTCTTGGTTAAAATCAATTAAACAATATAGGTTAATTGCCAGGTGTTGGAAATATCCCAGGCACAAATAACATGATAGGTTAGAGATCACTCCCAAATTTGAATAATCTTAATGAGATGAACAATTAATAACTGCCAGGAGCTAATATTCAAGGTAGTAATTCGCCATCAGAAGCATAAAACAACATGATTTAAGCAAATAATTAACTTTAAAATAAACTCAATTTCCCTTAAAACTAGCAATAGTAGTTTTAAGGCTAATAAGCAAAAACTGACGAAAGTTCATCATAGCAGAATACTGCAAATTTTGGAGGATTATCTGCTTTCAATCCACCTCAAGGATTCTAGAGCTAAAAACCAGTAGGAGGAATTCCAAGTGGTCTACCAAACTCAGACATGGTAAACAAAATTAGTGAAATTTAATCAATCTTAAAGCCTCCTCCTCAAGGAAGCAATCAATCAAATGGATTTTAATCCACATAAAATCCTCAAAATATGCTAGGTGGCATTGGTATTTAATTACCAGGCAACTTTGGATAAGGTGCCCCAACAAATTTGGCCTAATTAAACCCAGGGCAATCAACTCCAGGTTTCTAATAATTCAACCAAGGATAAAACAATCAGCTTCCAGGAGCACTTGGAGGGCTTCCAGGAATCAATCAAAATTAATAAGTTACATAAGGATAGAATTTACCTCTTCAAAACCCAGTTGAAATGTTTGGACAATATTAATAGGTAAACCCTTAATTAAATCAACAATTCCCTGGTTTCAATCAGCCATAACAGTAAAATTAATAATAATAGTAACCTCAACAACAAACCTAGGATAATAGTCTGCTTAACATTTAAAAGACAAACTTAAATCAAATCCTCGATATTCTTCCCAAGAATGTTAATCTTAACAGTTTGAGTAGGGAGGATCTTTTGATGCTTTTACAAGAGTAGCAAAACAATTAAAAAGCTAATGAAGTTTAGGCAAACTAACTTGCATAATAATAGTAACTATAAAAACAACAATAAGAGCCCAGTCATCAAGGTTCTCCGTAAAATCAAACATCTAATGGAGCTTAAAAGCTCTTAGAAGAATCTAAAGGCGACAAGTCTGCTACTCAAAATGATTTTGGTCAATAGTAACTCTAATAAACCCAACAACAGGAGCAGTTGGCATAACTTGCTTAAATCCAATAGCAATAGCAGCTACTTTAATAGCAGTAGCAATAAATTCAGTAATAATAGCAATAGCAGTAGCAACAATAGTAACAAGCAGCATAATAAAATGGTGCCTTACCTAATATATAACAACTCTAAGAACTGTAGAATAATTTCTAGCAGAAACAACCATTAGATGAGAGCCAAAATATTTTGAATGATTTAGTATCTTAGTAGCAAAAGCTTCTTCAAGGAAGTGTAGGAGTAACAAGCATTAATCCAGTTGGAATGATTCCAAACACTTAAGGAAATACTGGCAACCAAATGCAGATGCAGGGTGCTTTGCCAAATCTTCAAATTTATCATTAATAGCTCCTAGCTTAAATGCAATCAAACAACCCCGAGACTTAGAATAATCCTCAGATATAATTTGCCCTATAACAGTTCCAACAGATGTAAAATCAGCAAAATCAACTTAACTATTAGCAGACTTTAGGCCAACTAGCCTAGTAATAGTAGCAGCAAATATAACAGGAATCGGAGAAGTAAGAAGAGCCAAAATAAGATGCTCCTCTCCAAGTTTTACCTAATGGATTAGGCCTTCCATAAAACTTAAAACTTGATGTTTAAGCTTAGCTTGTATACTAATAAGAGAACATTAGTAACGGGCTACCTTAGGAAATTCAATAACAGTAAAACCTTTAATAGCCATTAATTTCTAATGAGGACCTGTAAGCTTAGGTTGAACTGTAACAGCAATAACAGCTTCAAGCTTCAAACAATCTATCGAATGAAGATGCAAACTAAAAGATCTCTGATGAACCAATAGTGAAATAAGAAGGAGAGACAAACGGCGAGCTATAAAATGCAATGCCACAATGATTTTAATGATGAATAACTTTGTATTTTTGTTTGATTCTTATAACATTTTATTATCCATTTTCATCAGTAATTTGGGAAGTACGGGGTTTTGGGGTTTTGGGGTTTTGGGGTTTTGGGGTTTTGGGG